AAAGAAAAAAAAAAAGATTTAATGTAGGAAAAAATAAAGATAAAGAACAATAATAGAACCTAACCTCTAGATTAAACTTCCGGCGAATAGCCGTACGGACGGGATAAGAGAACCAAGGCGCGAGGCAGTTCCAACCGAAAAAGGTTTGGCCGAGTAAGTAAAAGCCAGTGTAAGGCAAACAGTGGTTAGCAAAGGTATTATTAGGAGTTAACCCGAGTCGCTCGACATTAGTTCCATAGAGAACACAAGGAGCCATGCTGCTCAGTAAACCTGCCCAATATCATCGGAATTGATGGTAACATACTATTACAACTCACAAACATCTAAAAGAAACCATTTTACACTGCAACTTATATGTAAGACTATGCTGACAAAAACAAAACTTTTTAAGCTTTCTTCCTTGATTATAAAATCTAGATCATTCACTTGCCTACGAAAAAAAAAAAAACAAGAATACGGGAAATACTACGGTCCCGTTACGGAATCATTCCGTCAACCGTTTGATCATCATGTAACCGTTGGGGATAGTTGATAGTTGATCTAATGGTTACGAACTCCAACGGAATGGTTCCGTAATGAGACCGTAGCATTTCCTCAAGAATACATCCCAATTCGACGATCAAACTTCAACTCTACAATTTCCTTTGGTGTCGTAAACAAGAAAATTAGACTTCAATTTAACCAAATAATTTATGACATTTCTAACAAAACCAGACAACTTAGTAGAGGTCAAAAATCAGAAATCAACACCACATTTTGTCACTGAAATACATATATTATTGGGAAATGCTACGGTCCCATTATGCTACCATCCTGTCGGGTATTTTTTTAACCGTTAGATCCACGTGTAGTTAGATAAGATAGATGATGCAACGGTTAAACACCCGACGGGATGGTCTCATACCGTAGCATTTCCCTATATTATTGGAGGTAAGTTTTACAGTTAACTAACTAGCAAAGATACTGGATTAATCCACCATATACTAATATTAGTACAGGGTGGCTCAACAATTCTTGCAAACTTTCAATGAAAAAAGCCAAAATAAACACACTAAGTAACCAATCTGCCAACACAGAATTTCGAAAACCATTACATTCATGTAGACCAACACTAGCTCAATTCCATCACATACTAATATATACTCGTAGCCCTTTACACCACAAAACAGATAACAATACTATCAACAACATCACATAATAAGCTATTTTTCTTTTGGTTTGTTGACAGAAGCTGCAAAGAAAGACAACAACAACAACAAAGTCTTTTAGTCCCAAGCAAGTTGGGGTAGGCTAGAGATGAAACCCAAGAGAAACCGTGGTAAGAGAAACACAAAAAAATGCTCAAAACAAAACAAAAAACTCAAAACAAAAGGAAGAAATTGGTACCTCATGCATAAAAACTAAAGCATATACTTTACGTCGGTACCTCATGCGTTGTTTCAGAGCAAGCACGGGATCAAATCCAGTTTGTAGAATGTTAATACCTGCAATAAATGAGAATTAACACATATTAATCAATCTAAACAAAGAATAAAACATAATACAAATTCATACATAAACAGACATAACTAATTAATGTGTGGTGTGTGTGACTGGGAAGAATACTAGCTAAATGATTAAAACCAATCCTTTTGGCCACAGACCATGTCCACTTCTTGTTCTTCATTTTCTTCTAACTTTTCTCAATCAAGTTTTTCTACACAGTCTTCCTCTTGTCCCAGGCATGAGGTGATACAAGGGTCTCGAGACAAAATAAAGGGGAAAACTCGAAAGCATAACAAAATCCTTGGCATTCCTCGACATCAAAGTTTCTTGCAACTGTGGTTGAGCAGGATATTCCCATTTTATGCAAAAGCAAGCGGCCGCACGAAATCATCGGGCTTGATCACCAACTAGCCGAATCCACAAACCCTGCATCATAACCCAGATCACGAACCGGGACTCGTAAGCACAACTCAAAGCAAGCATCCCCTCAAATGCATCAACATTCAAACTATCAATGCCCTCCATGTCAATCTCTTGAGGTATCTTAACCTCAAAGTCCTTCTCGCACAAGGCTGAAACCATATAAGTGCACTCCAGACCCGGGACGGGCCACGTCTAGACAATCGTGTGCAGGGCGCCGTTAGCATGGACGAGCCAATGGCGGTGAGTATAGGGCGCTCTGTTGGCCCTCTTCTAGGAATTCGACCTCAAGCTGTAGATCCAGTCCTCGGACAACGACCAAAGAGAGAGCGCCTTGAACATGTAGAGCATAACCTTGGTGATTTTGTAGTCATCGTTTATTGGGTCGTACCCAAACCCGCATGTGGTTCTGCAGAAATGACGCTCGTCCGGTTGAAACTCGCGGGGCACACGGGGAGGACCTTGTGCTCTCTCGTGAAAGGGTTCCAAAGCACCGAAGAGGTCGGCTCCCTCATCACAACAACCATGTCGTTGACGGAGTTTGAAATCGTGTGCTCATCCTTTTCGTCGTACTGCGAAATGATTTAGCATGCGATTTCAAACTCCGTCAACGGCATGGTTGTTGTGATGAGGGAGCCAGCTTCTCCGGTGCTTTGGAACCCTTACACGAGAGAGCACAAGGTGCTCCCCGCGAGTTTCAACCGGACGAGCGTCATTTCTGCAGAACCACGTACGGGTTCAGGTACGACCCAGTAAACGATGACTACAAAATCATCAAGGTTATGCTCTACATGTTCAAGGCGCTCTCTCTTTGGTCATTGTCCGAGAACTCGATCTACAGCTTGAATTCCTGGAAGAGGGCCAAAGGATAGCCCTATACTCACCGCCATTGGCCTGCCCATGCCAACGGGGCCTGCACACGATTGTCCAGACGTGGCCCGGCCCCGGTCTGTCTGTAGTGCACTTATATGGTTTCAGCCTTGTGCACGAGAAGGACTTTGAGGTTAAGATACCCCAGGAGATTGACATCGAGGGCATTGATAGTTTGACTGTTGATGCATTTGAGGGGATGCTTGCTTTGGGTTGTGCTTACGAGTCCCGGTTCGTGATCTGGCTTATGATGCAGGGTTTGGGGATTCGGCTGCTCTAGTTGGTGATTGAGCCCGATGATTTCGTGCGGCCGCTTGCTTTTGACAAAAATGAGAATATCCTGCTCAACCACATGCTTAACCACAGTTGCAAGAAGCTTACTGTGTGTGTGAGTTGATGTCGAGGAATGCCAAGGATTTTGCTATGCCTTTCGAGTTTTCCCCTTTATTTTGTCTCGAGACCCTTGTATACCTCACGGGAAGACTGTGAAGAAAAACTTGATTGGGAAAAGTAAGAAGAAGAAGAAAATGAAGAACAAGAAAATGAACAAGAGGAACAAGAAGTGGACATGGTCTGTGGCAAAAGGATTGGTTTTATCATCTAGCTTGTATTCTTCCTAGTTGCAGTCACACAAACCCACACATTAATTAGTTCTGTCTGTTTATGTATGGATTTATATTATGTTTTTTTCTTTGTTTAGATTGATTAACATGTGTTAATTCTCATTTATTGCACGTATTAACATTATATAAATTGGATTTGATGTTGTGCTTGTTCTGAAACAACGCATGAGGTACCGACGTAGAGTATATGCTTTAGTTTTTTGCATGTTGTCTTTCTTTGCAGCTTCTGTCAACAAACCAAAAGAAAAATAGCTTATTATGTGATGTTGTTGAGAGTGTGATGTAAAGGGCTACGAGTATATATTAGTATGTGATGGAATTGAGCTAGTGTTGGTCTGTAATGATTTTTGGAAATCTGTATTGGCAGATTGGTTAATTAGTGTGTTTATTTCGGTTCTTTCATTGAAAGTTTGCAAGAATTGTTGAGCCACCATGTACTAATATTAGACTATTAATAGTTAACTGTAAAACTTACCTCCAATAATATAGGGAAATGCTACGGTACGGGACCATCCCGTGGGGTGTTTAACCGTTGGATCATTATCTTATCTAACTACACGTGAATCTAATGATTAAAAAAATACCCGACGGGATGGTACTATAATGAGACCGTAGCATTTCCCAATAATATAGGTATTTCACACAATCAATAGCCAAATGCATAAAAATAGAATTTTGAGCTGAAAACCCATTTGGATTATCAAACTTCAATTTCTTTGTTTGTCGAAATCCATAAATCAGACTTCAACTTAACCAATTAATATATGACATCTCACAAAACTAGACAGTTTTTAGTACACAACAGTAATCAGAATCAACACCCAATTTCGTAATCCAAACCCATCAAAACCAGATTCACGCAATCAACAACCAAATGCATAAAAATCGAATCTTTAGCTGAAAGAAACTCACAAACTTCAAGATCACTGCTGCAGAACTCGTCGTTTGTTCCAAGACAAGATAAGATACCGGAGCTCCACTGGGCCCTTTCCGTCATGGGTTCACCCACAGGAAGCCCATCGGCCGTCCATCCAATCGGAACGGCCGCAGGAGGCAGAGATCCGCCGTGCTTGCAGCCGTGGTCAGCGGTGGGTTTCTTTTCAGCTGTTGCCCCTGATTCTTGCTCTTGGTTTGGTAAAAGAGGGTTTGATTCCTCAGAATTAGCCATTTGGATATGAGAAAATTGGTGATATTTCCTTGTCTGGTTTGCTTGAATCTGAGAGTATATATGAGATTAGGGTGTGTTTATGTATGAATTTTTTCAATTACACACACCTCATACTCAGGATTAGACATGGCCAATAGGCCCGAACCCGGCCCAGTCAAACCTATTGACCATTGATCCAAGTTTGGACCGGATTTCTGAAAGGTCGTATTAGGGTCATCTATTTCACGGGGCCGGGCCGAGTCGATGACTCCCTTTTTTATTTATTTTTTTCTATTGTTTTTTTTAAAAAAAATATCGGATCCGACCGGGTTTTGGCCATGTCTACCCAGGATGAGTCAGACATGATGGAGCAACAATAAAAACACACATCGTACTCAAAATTTAACACTTCAACTCAATCTCAGTATCTGAATATCTCACTATTCTCAATATTATTAATATAATTCAATAATATCATATTTTTTGTTTTTACACATCACATCAACTCTAATTCACTACTAGTACAATATCGGTATACTACACGAGTGGTTGATGAAATAACTAAATATACAATAAAAAAACTATATATTTTGTTAAAGTTGGAAAAAATAAATAAAGAACAATATATAACAATTCATAATAAATATTTAAGTAAATTTACAATATTATTTTAAATTCTGAAAACTAATTATACATCATTAATTTTATTTATAACTTTTTTATTTAAATACATAAGAAAATAATAAGAACAGCGCACAAAATTTGAAAAGTAAAATCATATGCACATTGTAGAATGAAGATAATAAATAGATTTATATGGAATATATTAAATATGTGTATATATGTGGTAATCTGAACCTAAGTTATTTGGTATACAAAATTAATAATTATTATCCAAGCCATATTACAAAATATAATATTTTGTCATGTAAGATTACTAAGCGGGTGAAGTTGTCACTTAAGCTCAGCGCGTTATGAAATTATATATAAAAAGTATTCATCCAATCACATAATTTTAACTAACCACCACTTCATATCATTTCTCTCATACTTTTATATCAAATCAATTTTAATTATTTTATTTTAAATATTATTTTAATATAAAAAAAAATTTCACTAACAACTAACTGTACCACATTTTTCAAAATTAACTATGGTTAACAAAAAAAAACTCGTTTGAACGTATATATTTGCATACTAACACGCGCTTAAGTATTTGTTGAAGTGCGTGAAAAGTAAACCGCTATTATTTATATTATTATGTTTTAAAAAAAAAATATATTTCAATATAAATTATTTTTTTTATACATACAATATGGATCTTAAATCGAAGCTCATCAAAAGAAGATTAATTTGATATATTACATGTGTAAAACTGATAAAAAATACAAAAGTTATTAACTTCTAAAATATATATACAATTCAATAGTTATAATAAGGAATGATAATAAAATACAATTAATACATGTAACATGACCATAAATAATCAACATATTTATGGTAATCCGAACCTAATTATTTTTGGTTTTGGAATTAAATTAAAATTTACTCAAGCCTAATAACGAAACATGTAATTTTGTCACATATGATTCTGAAGCACCAGAAGCAGCCACGTAGGCTCAACGCGTTCTGTATTAATATATAGGGGGATATAAAATATAAAGAACCGCTCACCTGCCCACGGTGGACAGTGCCCACCATTTTTTTTTTTACATGAAAAATGTATTATGAGAATACGTTTTTCGATTAAATTAATTGAAAAACGTGTTCTCAGAATACGTTTTTCATGTAAAAAAAAAAAGTGGTGGGCGTGGGCAGGTAAGCAGGACTAATAAAATATATGCTTTGTTTTGGTGCTTCATTTGTGGTATGGGAAGTCCATTTTCTATGCTTTGGAATTGGATTAATCATTTAGACTTATTCATACTTGTCTATTAGGACTGTTAAACTTAGTTTTTAATCAATTTTTTCATTTTGATACATCAAATTAATCATTTTTCGAAAGTTTTTGTTACATTCACATTGCAATAAAGGGGCTCAAAACTCAATTTTGTTATTTTCTGGTAAATGACATTAATAAATAACATTGAATATCAAAATATTCTTAGTAATTAACGATATTTATAAACCAAACAAACAATAACACATCTTTCTTTCTGTTGTCCGATCGTGACAGATGTTGGAGTGTGATATTAATAATGTCTCTCGATGAAAGCACTGTCAATTAATTGAATCAATTCAAATTCATATAAAAATGGTGATGAATAATAAATAGTTGGTATTTCAAATCTTCGAAATTGTTTAAATATATTTTATATTTCAAAAACCCACAAAATGGCTAAAATCTAAACAGTGGTTTATTTTTTTAATATAAAATCTACGAAAATGCTATGGTCCCATTATGAAATCATTCCGTCGGAATTTGTAACTGTTAGATCAATTATTTCCGACGGTTATATGTTTATCTAACAGTTACAAACCCGACAGAATAATTCCGTAACGGGATCATAGTATTTTTGTATATTTTATATTAAAAAAAATGATCAGGTAAAAAGTCACTATAATATGATTCCGAGTTGACACCACAAAAACCAAGCCAAGGATGTGGGGGCACAGTGTAGACAAATGCTAGCAGAGACTAATTAATACAAACGACCCATAAATACATTAATTAATTTTATACGGCAGCAATTTCTATAAAAAAAATAATAAAAAAACATGTGGACAAAAAAAAAAAAAGGAGTGGACATATATCAAAACCACGTATTCAAGAAATACGTTTTCTATACAATTTGTGTAGAAAACGTATTCAAGAAATACGTTTTTTCAGAATTTTTTATAAAAGAAACCGTATTCCTTGAATACGTTTTACAATTAAAAAATGGGTAAAACGTATTTATTAAATACGGGGTTTTTATTTTGGTCCACTTTCATTTGATTGTGTTTTTTTTTTCCACAACCTAATTTTTTTTAAATTTTCTGGTAAAAAATTCCATGACCATGAGGTGTGTGGTGTGAGTTTTATTTTCCTGGCCCTCCTAAAACTTTCAGACCTAATTCCTTTATTTATTAACAACATCCACGTACACAATAACCAATCAATTAATTAATTAATTAATTAATTAATAATAATAATAATAATAATATAATAATAATAGCATTTAGGTGAAAGATTCCTCTACAGACCCCATAAAATAGAACATAGGCCCTGTTTGGCATTTACCTGATAATAATGGATTGCGACTGAATTAGTACATTTGACTATCTGATTAATTTAACTAATTTAACTGATTATCTAAAATATTTGATAAACGATTAGTGTTTGGTATGTAAATTTAATTAATTTATAATTCTTTATTTTAGAGAGCTCTTACATTTTTTTTCCGTAAATTAATGTTTGATTAAAAAACTGTTTAAAATAATTTTACAATTCATTATTTCAGAAAGCTCACGTAGAGCTTTTCTGAAATCATACCATACTAGTACAACACCCGTGTATTACACGGGTGTTTATTAAAAAAAAAATTCTTAAAATTTAAGATTAATGAGAAAAAATAGTTGAGTATTTTAATACATTATATATATATATATATATATATATATATATA